TATCTGAAAAAATGCATTAATCTTGGAAGGCAATTTTTGCTTAAGCCAAAAGTGCCTTTTGGGCTTGCAATCCCCAAAGGCAATGGAAAAGTGATGGCTTTATCTATCTAAATTAGTCAACTAAATCTAGTATAGTTATTGGGGTTCCAATTTCCCTGGATAGGACCACGGAACAGCGTACTCGCATTAATCTTGCTCAAATTTGTGTTGAAGTTGATGTTGAAAAGATTCATTCTCTTCCTGAATCTGCCTCGATAGATCTGGAAAATGATCCACCAGTGGAAGTAATGTTTGAGTATCCATGGCTGCCAGTCAAATGTGAAACTTGTAAGAAAGAGGGGCATCTTAGCAAGGACTGCGTTTCAAAGCCAGTAGAAAAGCCAGCTCAAAGGTAGGAGTGGCAAGTGGTAGAAAAAAGGGAGAAGCAAAGTAAACTTGATACTGCTAATGCTCAAATGGAGCAGCTTGCCTCAAACCTGGTTGAGAAGGATATTCCAGTCATCCATTCCACTTCAACTTTGGTTAGATCAGTACCAGATGCTGCTCTTCCAAATAAGGATGTTCACACCTCAAATTCTTTTTCTGCTTTGGGTGACGCCATTATGAATCCTATTATTGACATAAGTGTGAATCCTGTTATTGAGACTAGAATGGCCAGAGCTGCTTCCCAAGGTGTTGCTGCTGTCACCAAGGCATTGTTACCAAGGCAGAGGCAGCAAAAGAAGAAGTCAAATTCCTCAAGTGAGGTATCCTCTTCTCAGCCCAAATGAAAATTCTGTTCTGGAATGTCAGGGGCATTAATATGCTCAGTAAGCAAAGAGAGCTCAAAAAATATTTTTCCCAGTATCATGTTGATATAGTTTGTTTATTGGAGACTAGAGTTCAGCAAGCTAAACACACGGCCATTTCCAGTTTCTTGTTACCATCCTGGTCTATGCTCCACAACTATGAGCATTCCAGAATTGGTAGAATTTGGATTCTTCACAAGAATCATATTCACATCACTGTCTCTTCCATGAGCTGCCAAGCCATTCATTGCCATGTTTATAATTCTTTGTCTAGCCAATATTTTTTCTTGAGTGCCATTTATGCTGATCCTTACTTGGATGCTGTTAGACAGACATTATGGGATGAATTAATTCTTTTTAGCCAGGCACTACTTGCTGTTCCATGGCTAGTGGGAGGGGATTTCAATGACATAAGATCTCCCTCAGAAAGATCAGATGGAGCAAGCATCTCAAAAGAATCTCTTTCTTTTCATGATAAGCTTAATGCTGCTGAGCTCCATGACATTCCTTCCTCGGGTTTTTATTTCACCTAGTGCAACAATAGGGAGGATGGTCCCATTACTAAAAAGTTGGATCGCTTAATGGTCAACGATGTTTGGTTTGACTTATTTCCAGGCACTAATGCAGAATTTTTGCCCCCTGGCTGCTCAGACCATTGTGCAGGTTTGGTAGGTATCCAAGCCCCTGAAGTTAATAATCGAAGGAGGCCATTTAAATTCTTCAACTTCTGGATCAAGAATGAGAAGTTTTTGGACATAGTGAAGCAAGTCTGGGAAACAACTCAAGTGCAAGGTTGCTATATGTTCCAACTTTGCAAAAAGCTAAAGGCTCTAAAACCTGCCCTCAGGAAATTAAATGCTGAACACTATGTTGATCTCTCAAATAAACTATAGCAGGAAAGGCAAAAATTGCATCTGATTCAAGCAGATTTATTGGCTAATCCTTTTGCAGAAATGGTTCAGGTTAAGCATGATCAGGTTCAAAAAGTTGCGACTCCACAATTGGCTGAGGAATCATTCTACAGGCAAAAATCACGAATAAAATGGTTACAAGAGGGTGATAGCAATACCACCTATTTTTATAAGGTAGTCAAAGTCAGGAGGGGGAAAAGTGTAATCAAGGAGCTCTATACAAAAGACAATAAAAGGCTTACCACAGTTTTTAGCATGGAGAATGAGGCAGTCAGATTTTATCAAGAGCTTTTTGGAACTGTAAATTCGAACTGTACTGAGGCCAGCAATTCTTGGCTTAAATATCTGTTCAATTTTCAGCTACCTGTAGATATGGCAAACTCTCTCATCCATCCTGTTACAGAGGAAGAGATTAAGGTTGTGGTTTTCTCAAGTCCTGGAAATAGGTCTCCTGGCCCAAATGGTTTTACAGCAGAATTTTATAAAGCTGCCTGGTCTATTGTGGGTGACTTAGGTGTCAAAGCTATTAAAGAATTTTTCTCCTCTGGTCAATTGCTAAAGGAGGTTAACTCCACCATCATTTCCTTGGTGCCAAAGATCTAGAATCCAACAAAAATGACAGAATTCAGACCCATTGCCTGCTGTAATCTGCTTTACAAGTTTATTACAAAAATCTTGGCCAATAGATTCAAGAAATGTCTACCTCTCTTTATCAGCAGGAGTCAGTGTTCTTTTGTGGAGGGTAGGCTTATGGTAGAAAATGTTCTCCTTGCCCAGGAAATTGTGAAACACTACCATAAGCAGTGCTTGAGCCCCAGATGTACTCTGCAAATTGATTTAATGAAAGCCTTTGATTCAGTATCTTGGGATTTTATATTCCAAATTCTACTCTCTCTTGGCATTCCCAGTCAATTTGTCAATCTGGTTAAAGCCTGTGTGACTACTCCTAAATTTTCTGTGGTTTTCAATGGAAATTTATGTGGTTACTTCTCAGGAGAGAAAGGAGTTAGGCAAGGGGATCCCTTATCCACATACGTTTTTGTGGTATGCATGGAGGTCCTTTCTCATATGTTGAACAAAGCCGCTGAGGAAGGAAAATTTGCTTATCACCCTAAATGCAAAAATGTGCAGCTTACACACTTATGTTTTGCTAATAATCTCATGATATTCACAGATGGTAGCCTAGCCTCTCTAAATGCAATTGATGCGGTCTTGACGCATTTCTATAAGGTTTCTGGCCTGAGAGTGAACTATGCTAAGTCAGAATTGTTCTGTTGTGGGTTATCTACATCACATACCCAGTTGCTTGTTGAAAAATTTGGTTTCAAGATTGGTACACTGCCAGTAAGATATTTAGGAGTACCATTGATCACGGGGAAGCTTGCAAAGATGGATCTCAGGCCTTTAGTCTCTAAAATCACTGAGAAAATGTCCTCCTGGGCTGCTAAACATCTCTCCTTTGCTGGTAGATTACAACTAATCTCCTTGATAATTCAAGGCATCACCAATTTTTGGTGTTCTGTTTTCATACTACCTAAAGGGATTATTAAAGAAGTGGAAAAGATATGTGGCACTTTTCTTTGGAATAATGAAACTTGCATTGCTAGAGGGGCTAAGGTGAGCTGGTTGCATGTCTGTACTCCAAAACAGGAGGGGGGTCTAAGACTCCGGAACTTAGTTCAGTGGAATCAAGCTTGCATTTTAAAGTTTATATGGCTGTTATTCTCAAAGGCAGGTTCTGTTTGGGTTGCTTGGGTCCAGGAAAACTTACTTAAGGGCAAAAGCTTTTGGTCTATTAATATTCCTTCTGATGCTTCTTGGCGATGGAGGAAAATTTTAAAATTAAGGCCATTAGCTAGAGGGCTAATCCAGCACATACCAGGGAATGGTCAAAACACTTATCTCTGGCATGATAATTGGCACCCTGCTGGCCCACTGTTAGAAGTTTATGGAAACTCTATTGTTCATGATTCAGGGATACCTTCCCAAGCTAAACTAGCCAGTGTTATAAGTGGTAGATTTTGGAATTGGCCTCCTGCTAGATCTCCCCAATTGGTGGAAATGCAAATACCTCTTTTTGATATTCATCCTAGGGAGGGTGAAAATGATTCAGTTATTTGGTTGACCTCCCCATCTGGATCTTTCCAAACTGGTCAGACTTGGCATTGGTTGAGACATAAGCAGCCCAGGAAAGTATGGCATAAACTTGTTTGGTTTCCTCATGCTATCCCTAAGCATAGCTTCATAGGTTGGCTAGCCATACTTAATAGATTGACTACAAAAGCTAGACAGAAGCAATGGACCCCTACCATCTTAGATACTTGTATCCTATGAAATAATAACTCAGAAACTTCCGAGCACTTGTTCTTTAAGTGCAGTTATGCTAACACAATATGGAGACAGATTAGTACTATGATCAATATTCCCTTTGTGGACTCTTGGCAAGACTTATTACATTGGATGGGGAAAAGGGTTAGAAGAAAATCTTTGCTTAGCATTTTGATCAAACTCTCATGGAATGCCACAGTCTACAACATCTGGATGGAAAGAAACAGAAGAGTTCATCTATAGCTCTTTAGAAGTGAGAGTACAATCCTTCATGAGATTCAGTTTGAGGTTAAAGCTAGAATGCTGGAGTTTGCTCGCCCAAGGTCTTCATCACTTCCTAAGGCTATTGCAATTCAATGGGGACTTGAAACTATTGTGACAGACTAGTTTCTGGGTAATAGTAGAATGTGTACTAACTATTGTGTATT